GTTCAAGGCGCCCACTGCTAAGGGGGGGGGGCTCTGTTCAGAGTGTTTCCAAGGGTTTTTTTGCTTCTTTTCTCTACTGGAGAATCACTTAAGGGCTACTGGTTCATGATCGAGCCTGGTACCCGTAACACTTGATCGCGGGAATTGTCTATAACAATTAGCATTCACTTAGCTTTTCGACTCATTAGCCTTCTAATTCGATGACAAAATACAGTTCTAGAAGGTTGTAAGAAGCAACAGTAAAACCAAATCAAAGCCCTACGACAAGCTTACGATTTTCTAGCACATGTTAATAATCTTTGAATTCATCTCACCTGAACATGCAGAATCCTGCGTTTGGTCGGCATCATCGAACGGGGAGCTTCGATGAGAATGTGGCAAAACCTACAGTTGAAAAGAGAATCCAGATTAATTAATAGTCAAACTTCGGCCATCAGTAGAAAATGATACGCTGTAGTTGGCTCGTTACATTACTTACCTCGTCATCGTCATCAACATGTGAATGGGTTGGATCCGAAAATGAAAGCCTGTGCTGCAGTTCTTTCACCTTCTCATATCTCGTCATGCACTCTTTTAAAAAAGTGAGAATATGTTTCGCTTCCAGACGAATATTATCCTGGAAATATAGCCTGCGGTTATTACTCCTAAGTTTGTTAATATACCTGAGAACAATATGAAGTATTTATAGATGTCTGCCCTCATGTATTAGAACGGAACAGGATAGACATCCAACCAAGTAACAATGCTAAGGGGTGTCATAAATGAAAAAAATCTCCCCATCAGGACCACGTGCACTCCAGCCCATGGTCATAAAAAAGAGCAACAAATGGAAGTATCTGTAATCATTAGGCAGCGTTCAGACTTCGCGACGGCAGCGCCTCGGTGCGCGTTCGGCGCGATCGATGCGCATGCTTTCAACTGCATCGATCGCGTCGAACGCGCGACCGAAGCGCTGCCGTCGCGAAGTCTGAACGCTGCCTTACGGTATACGAAGCTTTGCGTCCAAACAGCTTGTATTTAAGTCTAAAAGTGAAATTTTGCTGAAAACACTCTCAACTTACATCCATGAATAAAGCAGAATCTTGAAGAAGCGCCACAATATCCAGAATGACATTCACCGGAATATCATCAATTACATCCAGCGAGAAACTGCGCCATGACTGTTCAATGTCCCCAACAAGAAAGAGAACCTTAACAGTAAAATAAGTGTATAACAATTTCTCACTGCAACTGAGAAACATACAGCCTTGACGTAGTGTTCATCACAAATATATTTGACACCGTTAGGTAAATCCTTGTAGATAACTTTTGCCTCATCCAATGCGAGAACACCATAATTGACTAGAGAAGACAGTAGTATAATATTCGAGGCGCTGTCGGACCAGCAAGGGTGAATATGCCCTTCTGGTTGCATAGTTTGACACAGTGTGCATCGAAACATCTGAAATAACATAAAAAAGTCGGGATTCATTGCAAAATTCCAGTAACGAGCGGTCAAAGCGGGAATCCACAAAAAAGCGACACTTTCTGCAACTTTTTCTGTGTGCTATTACGTGGCAGGCTGTTGTGCAGGATTTGCAAAACGTAACAGAGAATCCGTTGACTCGATGTACCGGATTGCACTCGGGAAACGATAGCAGTACTGACCAGGGAAGTCCGCCAAACTACCATGGAACTTTGAATGGAGACCTGGGTAGATCGATAGTCTATAAGGTTATTTACAAATATAGATAGCAAAACTGCAACCTGCATTTCACAAGCAACTTATGAGCAGGTAAAGTTTGTAATGGTGCAGTAGGGTGGAGGCTTGGTGGTGAGCTGTGAAGCGAGGAATCGCATACGTCGAATCGAGTCGTCGAACGTCGAACCTTACCACTGAACCACCACGACTCGATTCGACGTATGCGATTCCTCGCTTATGCTTCACAGCTCACCACCAAGCCTCCACCCTACTGCACCATTACAAACTTTACCTGCTCATAAGTTGCTTGTGAAATGCAGGTTAGTTAAGTTTTGCTATCTATATTTGTCAATAGCCTTATAGACTCTATCGATCTACTCAGGTCTCCATTCAAAGTTCCATGATAAGTTGGCGGACTTCCCTGGTGAGGTTTGGACTCAAGTACGTTTTGCATGTAAGCATGCACCTCTGCACAGTGAATGAGTTGAATCCTGTTGAAGGGGGTCGGCACTGTCAAGCTCATCACCTGTGCGTTGCGTTCATACTTGGCGACAGCGTTCGAAACTCTCATCGTTTCGAGCGACTAGGAAAGCATGGTCGTGTAGCGGCGCACGCTGACGTTTTAAGCATTTCCGGAGTAGTTTTGAGCAGCTTTTGGCGGGCAAGCCGGCAATGGGAACGGTGGCGTAGGCTCAAACCGCTGGTTGAATATGCGAGCAGCTTCAGTCGAAGATGTCTTTCTAGAGTACCACTCGCTGGTTGCTTTCTTCTGGCAATATGGACAAGTAATGTTATCCGCTACCATTGCCCACCGACCCCTCCAAATGCTTCTGATAGTGCAGCGCACTTCCAAAAAAGTTCTAGCCGTTCCTCATGCAATAGAGCTGGATGGCTCTCCCCTTGCAGTGGTGTAGCACAGACATTGCTCCTTCTATAAGATAAGATAGAATACCCGTAATCAATGTCATTACTGGACGAGAAATTACGAGAAAACCTCGAAAAGTCTGAGTTCAAGCCAAGATTGAGATGATGTCCAACTTTGTATCGCGCCTCCCTGCATTGTGAAGCGATGGCATCCATGAGGTGCTCAAAAACAGGCAAGGACCCAGTAACATTGCTGTACAATTTTGATCTTACACGCCTCTCTATAAAAAGAAAGCCAGTTCAAAAAAGTGAGCAGAAACTTCTGCGCTACATAATAAGCTTCAGTATTTAATTAAGTATGCGATCCAGCGGTTTTGAGAGCGCACTGAGGGCTTTTGGGAGACTGACGAAAAGCATAGGGCATGCGGTTATCTATATATTCAAAGCTCTAATCGATACCCATGCTTTCGCTTTTCGGCAGCCGAAGTGCCTAGCGGGGCAAAGTATGCACGCCATAAATGGATAGTTGCAGAGAAAAATGTGGGCTTCGAGTTGTAATACTAGAATGGTGCCCAGAAAACCCTTCTTGAAACTAATTCGACACAATTCACACCCGATGATGGATTATTCTTATAGTCAGCAGACATCTGGTTGCGAGAAGTGCAGTTCTTTTCACAGTTAGTTTAACTTACCGTTGGCGGTGCGACGCTGGCTCGCTTCTTCCTTACTGCACGAGTTTGGGACCTTCTAAGATGGAGGTTGGACCCGATCATGTTGCTGGCGCGGTCGGGTTCGTAATGGCATTTCTTGAGCGTGATGTCCAACTTTGTTAGAGCGCAGGAGATCGTGGATATGGCCAAATCAACGTCCCAGTCAGCCAGTTGTCGCTGTATCTGTTGTAGAGTAGCTTCTGGTTGTTCTTCAACGATGCCTTCAATGCGCCTCAAGACCTCAGGAGTCAGCTTCGTTTTCTTTCCGCCTCCATGACGATGTGCAATGACCGTACCTTTCCGTCTGTAGGCACCGACGATGCTCCTTGCCGTGCTCTCGTTGACGCCAACCATTTCAGCAGCATTATGAATTGTTAGTCCATCGACTTGAAGGAGTTTGACGAGAGTCTCCTTTTGCTCCAGAGTAGTTCGGTTGTAGGGCTGCCGCTCTCCAGATCTCCTCCTGGCACTCATGGATATTTATTAAGGCCGGCCGCGACGTTCAGTAAAGTTCTTTGCAGTCTTGTCAATGAACCTAGTTTCGTCAAAAGCGCGCCGTCGCGTAGCGGTTACTGTTACTGGAGCGAATTTGCCAAGCAATTCACAAGCCGCTGAAAAGTCGCCTAGTGTCGAACTTGATTCGAAAAATGTTGAATTCAAAGAGAAGAAGGCATATAATCCCCTCTCTTGGAGTACGAACACGGCCTTACTCATGGGAGTGAATGAGTGCTTTGAAAAGAAATATGAGAGAGTATCTAATAGATCTGTTTTTTTTCATTCTTTTTGGGGCCACCAATTGTCCCACAAAATTCGATGTTGTTAGGAACTTGGATGCTAGTTGGGGCCGGTACTAAAAATGAATGTGATATTCCATATGAGGAGATGTAGGACGCTTACTGTAGAATTTGATTTGAAAAGTGCCGAATACAAGGTGAGAAGGTAGGAGGTTACTGCCTGAGATGTCTTTTGCATGGCTAGCATTATTGGGTAAAATTTTGCACGACTAGAAACGGCGCAAAATAAAGGAATTAACATAGTGGGAAGGTAGGCGCAAGTCCTCATGTGCAGGGCACCTATGGTACTTTAAATCATCGAACATTTTTCCTGCAGAAAACGAACCAAAGAAACTTTCTGCCTACATAAGCCTGAAGGGAATGAGCTCTGAAGGTGGGTAAAGTGGATCCCCACTCTAGAGTTTCTTCTTGCTAGCCATGATCACTGCAAAATTCCTATTGTCCTGAACCACAACCGTTTCCCAATTTTTCTGAATCATTTCGCAACACTAAATGCCGCCGAACATAAACGAACCAGAGCAACGGTGTGGAAACCAAGCTCAGTTTCAAAAACTCTACAAAATTGGGGCTAATGTCGTTTGGATGCACCCAATTTCGGCACCGATTTGTAAAGCGCCTAAGTACCAAATCCGCTAAAAACTTGTATGTAGGGTAATTTAACATCCTGATTACGAATATGACATTCATTCTTGGCGCTGGCGCTAATGGATGACACTACGGTTACCTGCGCTCTGCTAAGGCTGAGCCCAGGAGGTAATCGTAGTGTCCTCTCTTGGCGCCAGCGCCAAGAATGAGTGTCATATTCGTAATCAGGATGTTAAATTACGGATTTGGTGATCTTGTCACTTTATAAATGAGCTCGGTGCCAAAACTGGGTCCGTACAAATGGCATTAGCCCAAAATTGGAATCACCGCAAGTGGACGAACTAATTGCACCAAGCTGCTTACGTACAGCAAGTTAGCGCCAGGAGGAAAAAAGAAAAATATTCACATGCGAAGTTGTTGAAGCCGAAACCACCGCAAAAACTTTGAAATGGATAGCTTTTTTGGCTTTGTGCCAAAGACAGTCGTCAGTTTTGAGGCATAGTCTGCAATTACAAAATAGCTTGTCATTTCCGCTCATTTTCCGGTGATAAGCTCTAGATCTAGGAGGCAGCTTTGTTTTTTGAGCGTTGACGGACATACATAACTCTTAATAATCACTGTCATATCAGATAAGATTACAGTCTTTCCGTCACAAATGCATAGAAGGATCAAGGAATCATTATGGTCGGAAGAGTTTCGGAAGGATTTCATAAGCGTCCCATGACTTGATGCTCAATGTTGTTGAGGGACCGAGTCATCCCGCGCATATGTATTACCTACTTCGCCAAAAAGGCTCAGGCATAACAGCGCGCAACGTACCAGAAATCGCTTGAGAAATAGTCTCGGCAGAGGAAGACATAATTTCAAGCCTCGTCTTAGGAAGAGGAACATAAAGTTTCGTTTCTCTGGTCGCTCTCACTACTTAGCGCCCTGAAATTTCAGTGACGCATTATCCAGCTGATTCGTCTGCTTCACCGTGAGCACCCACGATGTTCCCTTCGACAATATCGCGCTCTACTGCCAGCGTTTGCGTATGGCGGGGATTCAAAACATTCAATTCAAAACATTCAACTCGCTTGCATTAGCCCGGACAGCTGGTTTCGACAAAAAAATTATATTTTGAGGGAGTAGGGTTAATATCAACATGTGTGGAGTGTACCAAGGTGCTTATCTCTGTACATTACCGTTCACAACAGCAGAAATATAGTTATGTTTTTCGCGTTATTCGCTTAAACCAGTTTACCTGGCTGTGCTTCGTTCGAAAAAAAGTTATAGGGGAACAACAGCTTTCGTCATTTCCTAATGAAAAGGAAGGATTTTCCTTAATAAAGCTTTAGTCTATTACTAGTGAGTAGATAATCAATGGCCCTTTTCTTCAACCTTTTTGCCCTGTGTGCTTTCTGATGCCAGTGTATTTCACTGTTGCTTCATATCGTCTTCCTTCTACCAAACAGTTCATGATTGCGAATTTTTTTTGGTCTCGGGGTTCCAGAAAGGAACTCGAATGGTGGAAGCGCCGTTTAACATACTGCATATGGGGGGGGGGGGCATTCTTCTCTTGCTATCGCCTATGCTCGGTTTATACATTATCGGTTCATGTGTTTCGAATTGGCATTTCTAAATACGTTGGTTTCATTCATCAAATATTTGCAGGAATGAGTACCAAGGAAAATGAAGAACCGAGTTTTGTTAAACAAAAGTTTGATCCTAGTAATCCTTCGACGTATTCTACGAAAAAAGGAGGGTAAGTCAGTGGAAATGGTATTGTTCCTTGGATGGTGCTTCTGATTGTGCGTTGACTGCTCACGAATCATTTGCAGACGGTTTTGCTTGGATGATTTCGAAATAGGTCGCCCTCTGGGAAAAGGTAAATTTGGATCAGTTTACCTGGCTCGTCTCAAGAAAAACGGGTTTCTGGTCGCTTTGAAGGTAAGCTGTTGTTTGTGGCGAATACTTTTTTTGCTTTATATTTCACGCTACTGACTATGCCCTCCTTTCCGTTTTTTTGTTTTGTTTGTCATAGGCTGCAAAGTCGCACATCCTCATTTTCAGGTTCTTTTCAAGAGTCAATTGAAAAAGAGCAGTGTTGAGCATCAACTTCGAAGAGAGATCGAAATTCAAGGGCATCTGCGGTAGCTACTATTATTTTTGATATTTAACTGATCTATGTTTTATTAGAATTTTATGTCTGTCGCAAAATGTGTAGTGTACTGTCTCTGGATTTCCTTCGAATTCTGTAATGTCTCGACTACATAGTTAATATCTGGTTATTTCTTTGCGTTACTATCTTTCAGTTCCTCTTCTTTCATGATAACCCCTTTGAGACGCGTTCATTGACTTTGCGACTTAGGAAATTTGGCGATTCGGTGTTATGGGCGTTTTGGCATTTCGGGCGTTTGCGCTTAAAAAAAGGGGATGAGTATCGGTTGATGCCGGTCGCAGCGATTGTGGAGGTTCCGCGTTACTTCGCCAGCGGTGTGGGAGATTTAGCGATCTGGCGCCGGTCGATACCCATCTCTTCTTTGGCATGCAATCGCCCGCAACGCTGAGCCTCCCAAATCTCTGGATCGTCCAATTTCCTAAAACGCCGTATACGGTTTTCCCAGTCGTCAAATCGATACTTGTACTTCCCTTGTGACGCAATCTCTCGAATCGCTGAAACTCCCCCATAGCCAAATTTTTCAAATCGCCGAATTCCCTGTCGCGAAGTATAAACGGACCACTCCTCGTACAGTATTGCTCACTTGAACTGCAACTATCCTAGTGAATGTCTTCCTCGAGGTTTTGTGTGGATATATCACCTATCATGTTTTTAGGCATCCTAACATTCTCCGGATGTATACTTATTTCTGGGATGAAAAGAGAATCTACTTGGTGTTGGAGTACGCGCAGGTAAAGTTTGAAAGTTTCCTCCGTCTTTGATGCTAATCATCTTCATCTAATGCGTGTTCAGGGTGGAGAAATGTACAAAGTTCTCAAAAAAGCGAATAGATTTGATGAAACTACGGCTGCTGTGGTACGTGATTCACAACCTCACAATTGAGCGTTCATAACGTGCTCTGAATAACTACATTGGTGAATTTTTAGTTCATGTTCCAAATGGCTGACGCACTCAAGTACTGCCACGAGAAGAAAGTTATTCATAGAGATATCAAGCCAGAAAACTTACTGATAGGGGATAATGGAGAGTTGAAGATTGCTGATTTCGGATGGAGTGTCCATGCTCCAAATCAAAAGTGAGTTTTACTGCTTCAGTAAGAGTAGCGTTCAACTCTGTTCGTTCCGGGCTCAAACTCGACTCAACCCTTTTTATGCCCTCCAACTTTCTATTCGGCAGAGGGAAGTCACATTCCTTAATTGCCTGAGAAACGCGACCTCTCCCGTGTGTAAGGTGCGCAGGCTCACAACCATAAGGGTGCCAAGAAAATGCGTGAGATAGGCTCGCAGTCACCGGAAATCCAGTCCTTTCCAAGTATCGATGCCCAAGAATATAAGGCAGCTGCGTTGCGTTGCGAACGATCTTTTCTCCCCGATGTGCGCTGCAGCTGCGTAGCTCTTGGCTGCACTTGTTTGATCTCTTCCTAAGCATCTCTGTGTCTTCACTCATGGTTGCTTAGAAATTAGCCAGTCGGGCCTTATTCGCGGCAATTTCTACGGCTCTCGTCGCCCGTTTCTTGACTGGTAGATCAGTCAATACATACACACTCATGAGTGAAGCACACTACCCATAACTCACCATCGCGGAATGTGTCTTTAGGTTCCATGGCACATGCGAGTAATTTTTACCTGTGTATATCCGTTGTGATTCCCCGAGATAGGTGATAAACAGGCGTCGTACATAAGAATGACTGATTTCAGACGACAAACAATGTGTGGTACTTTGGATTACTTACCGCCGGAGATGGTACTGGGTGAGGAACATCGAGAATATGTGAGTTCCAGTCTGCCTTTTGGGCTTTTTTCCTACGATTATCGATTACTATTATCGACTACGACTCTATTTCCAGGTAGATATATGGTCTCTAGGCGTACTCTGCTATGAGTTTCTTAGTCGGTACACCTCCGTGCGCGGTACCAGCAGCGCAGGTCTCGACGGATTCTGCTAGCACCTACAGAGCCATCCGGAATGTACGTCCATATTACAGTACTTATAGAAAAAACGATAAACCGTCTCGAAAACTCAGGCTCTACAACCTGAGAAACCTCCCTTGTTAGATACGAAGTTGTCTCCCTCTTTTTGATTATTGTAAACATCAGTAAACCAGAATCTTCCTATCCTTGAATGGCCGTCTCTCCCACATCTTTTCAGCAGCCACCTAATAATCGATTTTAGGTGCGATATACTTTTCCCAGTTACGTATCTAGTGGTGCGCGAGATCTGATTAATAAACTACTTCAGCGACGGCCGCAAGAGAGGCTATCTTTAGAGAATGTGAGTTTATTTTTAATGTCGGATATATTCTGAGGTTATAAATACAAAACGCACCCGTTGGTAATCTCAGGGCACCTTCCGAGGTGCCCTGAGATTACCAACGGGTGCGTTTTGTATTTATGTATTTTTCGTAACATGTCATTTTCTCAGGTGATGAATCACGAGTGGGTGCAATTCCACCTTCAAAAGCGACAGGAGAAGTCATCAAATTCCAAGACATCAAGGAGAGTGCACGCGTCCGATAACTTCTAAATTCTTTTATTTTTCCTATATCTACTTATTGTATATTGTATGTATAATAATTGTTGCACCCCTCATAAACAGTTAAGGTTCTACTTTAATCACTAGCTATGCAGTTATCATTGCGAACTTATGGAATTCGCTGTGAATTGGATGACGATTGCTATAGAGTCACTGAGATCGTGAGGCTGTGCTTATACTTTGCGAATATCTGAAATTCGGGAGCATGCAGGATCGGCTTCTAAATAGTCGATCGATTGCTATCCAATACCTTGCTGCCTATTCCACGGAATCGCAGCTCCGTCGATGGGTATGCCATCATTTCTCGCCGATTCTCCGATATCCCAGATTATCCCGAAGTGTGTACTGTCCACGTTCGCAGTGTCTGAACGCGGCCAATGCCAAATGTCGATAAGGAACTAGCGAATGTGCCCCTCCCAAACCGAACAGCGCCGAAATGCGTAATCAGATTTGTTTATTCATAATGACGACCGAAGTCCACCAAAAATTCAACTCTTATTGTAAAGCAACAACATAACAATAGATAGATTTCCATAAAATCTCCTCACATAGTGATAGTTTCTGTAGTCTATAAATAATTGGTGGAAAGCGAAGTGCCAAGGAACGACTGCGAAACGCTGTGACCAGGCGAGGCTCGAGAAATACGGCGAGTTCTTGGTGCTACTGGCGGCGGAGCCGCAGGTTCTTCGTCCATATCGCCCCCTGGAAACGAGAAGGATAACAGAACTTCCGATAGGAAAATGGTGTTATATACAGGTCGTTGTAACAATGAAATCTAAAATAAAATGTTACGGAGAACTAGAAGATAAGGGAAGCTACTATGAAAACAAGGGGTAAGTTAGTTACTCATTTTCACACTAAGTGATTCGGGAGGGGGGGGGGCAAAAACGAGCCCCATCCCTTTTTGTCTTCGAGCTTTTGCCGGCGCCACGAAAGTTAGGTTACGGGGCTGTTGTCAACCAGACGTGCTCTCGCTGCGAGGGTCCAGGGTATTTTCACGAGGCATCTACCAGTCCAGTAGTTGGAGGGAGAAGGTAAAGGAGGAGGGATCAGAGAGGAAGGAAGGAAAAAGAAGGAAGGAGGAAGAAAAACGAAAGAGAGGAGAGGCTTCCCGGTTGACAAGTGCCCTGAGGCGGAAAGTTACCTAACAACTGCTAGGACTTTTGGTGAGGGTCCTGCCGCGATAGGCCGGAGCGCAGAACAATAAAGGACTGCGACTGCCAAGGCATCGCAGGGTACAAAAAACATAACGCGAGCCAGCATATGAGTTTTTCCTTAGGAGGGGACACCGAGGTGGATGAGCCACTTAGTATGCGTGAAAAGTTGGAATGTGAAAGGTCAGATTGGTCACAAAGCGCCATTCAGGCAAGAGAGCGCAGACAAAAACAGAAATTTGACGGCAATAAAGGATCTGAGGTTTTAGCTGTCCGTAGACACCTCACGAAAACATACCATCCCCATGCAGGTACTCTGATCCGATTGTCTACCCACAAACTAACATCCTTTTCACTTCAAATGTGGGATTCAGAAGGTCCAGTGTATTCCAAGGTAAATTCGCAATCTCGTCTCAGAAACGAGCACCAAAGTACGCCTGGGGGCGGAGCCACACCAGGTGGGCGGGGCTGGTAGACAACGTATGTTGCGACGCGTTTGTTGATTGTAAATAACGTTTGTCGTACGCTTACTTCCTTCATTTGCAAGGAATTTCCGAACGGAAATCTCCACTCACCCATCATCTGTCGCTGCACAAGTAACTTGTACATGCCTTCCTGATTGATAAGCTCTTGATGAGTTCCCATCTGTTCAACTTTACCCTAAAGCAACACTTTCAAACTTGTTCTGGATATCTGAGATTTCGACTTCTGGCAGTTGAAGTCCGACTTACATGATTGATAACGACGATTTTATCTGCATTTTCGACAGTGCTCAGGCGATGGGCGATGAGAACTACTGTCCTGCCTTTGAGGTTCTTCGAGATCGCTTCTTGCACCTGAAATGGAATCTTCTTTGTAACAATTCCATGTTCTCATGAGCTCAAAGAATGAACTGTACGGAAAGAAAGGCTTGACTGACCAAATGTTCACTCTCTGAATCGAGAGCGGATGTTGCCTCGTCGAGTAGCAGGACCACAGGATCGCGAACCAGAGCTCTAGCGATAGCAATCCGTTGTTTTTGACCGCCTAAAAGTCAACAATTTTGATTTCACTCATGTGGTCTTTCGTGGTTTTTAGCGGCAAAATGAATAAATCCGGCCCTGTGTGAGACGCGCCCGGCATTCAGTTCTCATTCAGATTACGTCGCGGAAACACTGGGCACTTGGTAGAGAAACCAGACGGTGAAGACCAGATAGCGGAGAAACGGACGACGAGAGACAGCATGCGCCAGTCGTGTTCATTTCAGAGGCCAGTTCATTGGGTTATATCAAGCGCTAGAATTTAAGCCACTCCTCCTTCACTCAGTTTCGACGATAGAGTGACAACTAAAACTTCTGGTGATGGTCCTGCTGCGAAAGTGCCAGTGGCACAAAAATATGTCGCGAGCCAGGAAATGAATTTTTTTCTGGGGCAGAGGACATCGGGGTGGATGAGCCACTTATTATGCGTGAAAAATTGGAAAGTGAAAGGCCAGAGTGATCACAACACGCCATTCAGGC